GATCCTGAACCAAACCCTGGATTTAGCATGGCTCGAGACCAGTGGTTTCAGGACTTTGGGCAACGACCAATTCCCCCAACCTAGGTTGTTTTGCGGACACCAGCACCCTGAGGACTACTTTGCGACCTCCAGCTTCACTGGCTGCATCCAGCCCCTGGGTGCATCATATCAGCTCTTTTAGCCATTCGGGAGGGACCTGTGGAACGTGGGTTGGTATATAGGGTTGTATGTTGATTACAGCTTGGCCTATGCGCTTGGGGATTTCGGGCTCCTGATGGTCTTGGGTTTGGCATTGGGATGTAGGCGTCCAGGTTCAGGGTGTAGGTCCTGGGGCTCAGGGTCTGGGCAGGCAAGGACGAGGTTTTGGTGCTCACCAGCCCATCATCGGATTACCCTTGGCACTACCAGTCCGCAGAGCCTTCGTCCCCAAGCCATGGAACCACAGGAATCCCAGTCGCCAAAGTGGAGTTGGTATTGGAGTAGTGAAGGCTGGAGGACGGAAACCTTCATTACCTGCACTTACAGGTCTATGTCCCAAACCCCTTGAACCTTATTTGGGGGTTCACGGTTCGTTGTAAGTAGGGTTATTAGAAGCAAGATAAGTATAGTTATAACCCAGGTCAAAGGACCGATGAACCTCGAAGTAGGGGATCTCAGACAGGATGCCTCAAACGTTCTTGGGAAGCCTCTCAAACAGTAAAATCCCGAAGCCCAAAGCCTTCAGGTGTTTCTTACGGCTTCTAGACAGCTTCCTTTAAAGGAGCCCTTAAAAAGGAACCCTAGGTTTCTAGACAGATTCCTTTAAAGGAGCCCTTAAACCCTAAAAAGGGACCCCCGAAGGAGCCGGTAGGGGTCCCTTTCATGGGCCCTAAAACCGCTAGGAGCGGTTTCGCCGCCGCCGAAGCTGTGTGCAAGCTCCTGAAGGATGCGGAGCCCAAGGCCAGGGAGGGGACTCGACAAGTCGTTTTAGGGTTTCCACTACCGTGAAAAGTTCGTAGAGTCGGGACTTCCAGAGGTCATAACATAACCAAGGGGCCTTTATCATTACCTATACTACGTACTTTGGGGGCTCCTTTATTAACAATACTATAAAGGAGCCCAAAACCCGATTCTAAGACTTAAGGCCCCTACAGTAGAGAGTTCTTGGCTCAGGTTGGGGGATGTGAACTTCATGTTTTGGGGGCATCTTTCGGACCCATTCCCAAACGAGAAACCCAAGGGTTTAGAGTTTAGAGTTTAGGGAAGGGTTTGGGGTTTAGGGTTTAGGGTCCCTAAGCCCGAAACCACACCCAAACCTCAGACTCCTGATGCTACCAAACCCAAACCCCAGACTCCAGACTAAACCCCAAGCCCTGAACCCCCCAAAACCAAACCCGAATCCGAAAACTGAAGCCGAACCCCCGGAGCCGAATAAGCCTCGAAGGCAGCGAGCCTGAAAGTGGAGGGGGGCGGCAAAGGATCAAAGGGTCCCTCGGTCTTCCTAGGGTCCAGGGTTTAGGGTTTCGGGGGTTGTTCGGCCAATTCTCTTATTTCAGGGTTCAGGGCTTGTACCCTAAACCCCGAAACGCTAAACCGTGGAGTCTTGCTGGAAACAAAGGTTTGCGGTAAATTACCGCACCCTGGGCACGAAACTTCCCAGGTTGAAACGCCCTGTGCAAAGCAACGCAAAGCAGCTGTCGAATGCCTGGAAGCTTTGGGTGTTAGGCTCCTTATTGACCATGTTCCCCCAAGCCAAGTGACATATTATGCTTCGATATATGCAATCCTATCTAGTGTTAGGCTTGAGGTTTTGGTGGATGGGTTTAGGGTCTCGGCTTTGTACGGTAGTCATGGCTGTCTTGCAACGGACCTTGGCCGAGAGGGCCCGGCCACTAGGATGTCGGGTTCTGGGGGTCCATAGCACCCAAAAACCAGACAAGCCCGTCTGAGCCCTGGACCCCGAACCGGCCTGGAGAGCGTGTGGTCTTTGGGTTCATAGTGGTTTCGGCGGCATGCTCTTGGCCTCGCACACATGAAGATCATGGGTCCAAGCCCAAATCTAGCATAGATCGTGCTGGGCCTCTTCAAAGTTTGCAGGCTGGAGTGTGACCGGAGTCATAGAAACACTCCTATTTAAACACTTCAACAGCACCCAAGCCAGAATATGGAGCACTACAAATCCTAAGGTGACATATAATCTAGCAAAAGCCATATAGAAATCTCTTGAACCCGGATGACGCGCGTGAGGCTTTCGTTCAGGCCTGGCCTTCTGTAACCCCCCTGCCCCCCACACCCCCACCCGGCGTGAGCGGAAGCGCCACGCCTGCCAAGCCTAGGCCAGGGAAAGAAGGGAAACAAGGCACGAGCTGCTGTTGTGGCCGCCGCAACAATTTTGTTGGTTCCAGCTCACGGTCTCTGTGGCTCGCCAGTACTCGGCAGCACTCCTTCGATACATTAGCCGTCGTACCCGGACCCGTACTGGTATTCGTCGCAGTAGCCGCTGTGACAGTTACAGCAGTGTACAAATTGTGATGCTGCCTTTTCGATGTGTGTTTTATCAGTGCTGTTGTGAGAGCATCGTCGTCGTAGTTGTAGAAGTAGTAGTGGTGATGAGAGAGGTGAGAGGGCAGGGGAGGGGAGGGGAGGGGATGGGGAGGGGAGGGGAGGGGAGGGNNGGGAGGGGGAGGGGGAGGGGGAGAGGAGAGGGGAGGGTGGGAGGGAGAGGAGGGAGGGGAACTGGGCGGCGAGACTTGCCTCCGCGCAGGGGAAGGGCGGCTCGAATGACTGGCAGCAAGCCGACGACTGGTTCGACAAGGGCTACAAAGGGATCTCTGGCAAGCAGCATATACCTGAGATGAGAAGTGAGCCCTAAAGTCAACAGCAGCTGCCGGAACCTCCTGGCTTTGAGTTTGAGGGCTCTATAGGTTTGGTGATCGTTGAAAACACTTTGGAGTTGTCAGCGGCATTTTTCAGTTTGGAGTTCGGGTGTGTAAACGGTTCAGGATTACAAGGTTTCATCACTTTACTGTCAAACCAACTCCGACCCGTGCGACAATTCTCCTACCGGCCGCTCCCAAAAAGTGGCTGTCAACCTCACCCAGCTGTGGTGCGGAAGGTCGAGAGTTTAGGGATAGAACGGGTTTAGGGTTTA